AAGGAAGGAAGGAAGGAAGGAAGGAAGGAAGGAAGGAAGGAAGGAAGACAGCAATAGCACTTAGACTTATATACTGCTTTATAGTGCTTACAGCCCTCTCTAAGCAGTTTACAGAGTCATCTTATTGCCCCCAACAATCTGGGTCCTCATTTTATTGACCTTAGAAGGACGGAAGGCTGAGTCAACCTTGAGCCTGTTGATTGAAATGTAGTGTGTTAGCTTTAGGAGCTACCCAGATCCTTATGCTCAGTGGCACTGTAAGAGGGGACATATCGATGCTGCTTGAATGGTATAATGTACTGTTTTTAGTCCACCTTCCCTTAAGCTCTTGGAGCAGGGAGATTCAGAAGTGGCATTGTGTCATTGCTTCTGTGCAGGAGTTTTTACACAACTTCTGGCCTCTCTTGGATATACACTGTCTAAAAATAGAAAAATGCTCCCCCTCCCCCCCCAAAACACAGCACATGGGAGCATGACCTAAAGCCCCATCTGCATCTCTCCATGATAAGAACTGAAGGAAAAGCATACTCCATAAACCAGGGATTCTCAAGAGGAACGAATCTGAGCTGGGTAGGCTTCAACTCCCAGAATTCCATGCTGGCTGGGGAATTCTGGGAGTTGAAGTCCAGCCATCTTAAAGTTGCTAAGGCTGAGAAGCCATTCTGATAAATACTTCGTTGTGAGGGAGTGGGCGGAGAATCTCATAGGTATACAGTCATCTAGACTGGAACGTTTTTAAACGTTCCAGAAGAAAACATCGAAGTAAATCAGTTATGAATTATAACCAAGAGAACATTGTGGACCTGAATATGTTAGCTGTGTCAATTGCTGGGCTCAACTTAAGAGAGGCTTTAATTTTATTGCCTATTATAGAAAAAAAAGCTGTTTTTTTTTTAAATGATAAGTAGTGTCTACATGAGTCAGAGAGCAAAGCATCCGTAGATAAAAGAGACTCAAGAAATGGACTCATGGAAAACATAAAATCATGGATCTGGAACGGATCATGGAGATCTTCTATTCAACTCCTTGCCCAATCCAATCAGAATACAGCTGGAAGGGACCTTAGAGGTCTTCTAGTCCAGCCCCCCTGCTCAAGCAGGAGACCCTACACCAGAGGTCTCCAAACTTGGCAACTTTAAGACTTGTGGACGTCAGCTCCCAGAATTCTCCAGCTAGCATGGCTGGAGGAATTCTGGGAGTTGAAGTCCACAAGTCTTAAAGTTGCCAAGTTTGGGGACCCCTGCCCTATACCATTTCAGACAAATGTCTGTCCCAGGCAGGAAACTTTTATATATATGCCAGGAGAACTCTTGGGGAATGAGTTTGGGGTGGTTCATGCAGGCTAAACCCTAAAGCTGGGTTAAGCAAATACCGCTGCTGGTTTGATAAGTCCAAAGAAATCCCACCATGACTTAAATGCAGGGATGGCTTTAAAAGCATGCTAAAAGCACCATGGTTGAACCCCAACTGATCCAACCATATTTTAATTTCGTTTAGCATGTTATGCAATGCAATAAGTCATATATGCAGGACTGGATGTAGCTGGTCTCTCAAGTGTGAACTGCTATGGACAAGAAATTGGGAGGTGGGGCTATAGTACCATCAAAAATAGCAATGAGAAAACGAAAAACTCTCAAGTATTTGCTCAGGAAGATAAATATCCTTGAGGCTTTTTAGCTGATGTCTAAACCAGCATCTGTGCATTGCTATGTGAGACACATTTTTCCCTGTCAAACCTGCATTCAGCTGACATATCTCAATTTCCGGGCCTGCAAAGTGTAAAATAGCTCATGTAGAGCACTAAATAGCCATCAGAGAAAAGGTAAAAGAAAGTCCCTTAAATAACTGCTCTGGGCAATTTTTTTCTCTCCTAACGTTGCACTGTGTAATAAGCAGAGTGATTGGACCTCCTTAAATATTGTTTAATTTACCCAATTTACTCTGATTGCTTAAGTTTGCAACTGTATAACTGGACTCCAATGATGGTGTCAGCGAGAAGCTGCTTACATCCCTTGCAACTTTCTTTTTCTTTTTCCCCCTGAGGAAAAGTAGCTTCAAAGGATGCGGTTTGATCTGTTTCTAGTTAATGTTTTCATCTTCAGAATCCAGATGTGAAATGGGGATCCTCAGTTTTCTTTGGGGAAACCCTGAGCCCCTCTGAACCTCAACTATACAACAGGAGTAATCTTTGAGTATATTTAGTTTAGGGGGGGAAGGACCAGGGAAAATAGGATAGCAGTGTTTCAATATTTGAGGGGCTGCCATAAAGAAAAGGGGGTTAATCTGTTATCCAAAGGATCTGGAGGCAGAACAACAAGCAATGGATGGAAACTTAACAAGGAGAGACCCAACCTGGAAAAGGGAGAAATTTCCTGACAGTGAGAACAATTAACCAGTCAAATGGCTTGTCTTCAGAAGTAGATCTGGACCTATTTGTCCAGAATAATATAGGGTCTCCTGCTTGGGCAGGGTATTGGATGAGAAGGTCTCCAAAATCCCTTCCACCTCTGTTATTCTATGTTCTGTGTTTGGACTTGAAACCTTTTAAACAGGTTGAGCACTTAAAAGATTGCACAAGGGAGCTAAAGCAGTGAAATTTGGGTGATGTAATCTCTCCGAGGCCCATAGCCTGAAGAGATAACCAGGGATTCAAAGGCAAAGAGAAGGAAAAGTGATTACAGCTTTCTGGGAAGATTCAACAAACATAAATCATTTAATTTTTAAATTCAGATGCATCAGGGCTAGTGTTTCTTAAACATACATAATTGAAATTTACTTTGCATATGCTCAGAATTATCTCAATTTTGACAGCATTTTGAGGGCTGGTATTTAGAAAAAGATTCTGAAAATAATCTTCATTGCAGTTTACTTTAAAGAAGACTTATTAGTGTTTCGTTTTATAATTTTCATCTACTACAATAAATAAAAAGATATTTCATTTTGTTTTTAAAAAAATGGCTTTCTGTTCTGAAACATCCCTATCTAATGTTATATTGATCTGGCATTTCAAAGAAAAGAAGTTTCAGGAAATTTAAAACCAACTTCGCTTGCCAAATAAAGCATTTCAAATCCAGAGCAATTTATATCAACTTTATAATTTATTTGTTCCACAATGCAGCATATGCAATAAATTAATGCCCATTACTACAGCATCATCAACATAGCTTATTACTTTGTTAAGTTCATGATTATGGCAGAAAAGAGTAAACAAAAAACACAAAACAAAAAATGTGAATTTTGTGTCTCAAAGAGACTTTCGTAGTTCAGGAAGTCTGAAGGAAAGTTTTTTTTTAAAAAAAGAAAAAGTTTGTGCAACTCGTTTGAAGAAATGGAAGAGAAACAGGATTGTTTCACACTGTCCTGGAATAAAGTTCTCGCTCAGGAGAGGAGTTGCAGATGAGATGCATTTGGTGCATTTTTTTTTAGCAAATGCCAAGGGATAAACAAGGATTGCTGTCTGATCTCCTGTGATCCCAGCAGAAGAGAGAAAAGCACCTTATGGAAGGTTGTGCACATTCAGTAAACACATGTCCAGAAAGGCTGTCCAGGCAGCAGACAGTTTAGTCCAGGAGAAAAATCACACAGAGTCTCTTCTCCCTCCATGCTGCCAGAAAAAAAACAAAAAGTTGGAGCTGTCCGTTCCACCACTTTCCCATCCTTGTGGCTCAGGATTTGCTGCTTTCATCGTTTGAGGAGGGACTCCCTTTGGATTGTTCCAAGCTGGAGTCTGCAGAAGAAGCGCACACACAGCCAGTGAGGACTGAACGACCCATGACTGACACGTCCAAGCATCCTCCGTCTCGTACCAGGCGTTTGGAGATGCTGGCGGGCGAAAAGGATGACACCAGCAGAAGAGCAGTGCAATATACTTTTTGGTTTGGCTTTGGTTTTTGGGGTTCACCATCTTGCTTTTGTGGCTCTTCAGTGGATTTTGATGGAATGTTTCCCGAATTTCAGGAACTGGAAAAGTTTCTCTCGGGTTCTCTGCTTCAGAGCCATGAGGGATCTCGCTTTCTCCTCCAGGTCTTGGTCAGTGGCCAAGATAATCTTAGCTCTTTCCTCGGCTTTCCTGTCCCCGGAGTTTTTGAAGAGTTTCTCCAGTGTCTCTTGATCCAGGTTCTCAAAGATGTTGGGCACAGCTTTCTTACGCAAGGCGGTGTCGAAACGATAGCCGTGAACGGAGGGGCTCACTCTCAGGGAAGTCGACATGCTGGCTGGCCACAGGGTTGGATCCTCACCACTTCCAAGGATGTCAGAGAGGCAGCCGTAGGTTGTTGGCCTGGTGAGTGGATTGCCCGTAGTAGAGAACTCCTGGGAAGGGCACTGCTATTTAAAGGCAGCCGAAAGGCTGAGCTTCGCAGCCGAAAGGCTGAGCAGGAAGCTCGTGTTACAATGATGACATCACACCCAGTTCAACATCCAGTCATCAAAGGCCAGTTTAACAGTTGAGCTGCCAGTTTTCTCCTTGCTCTCTTTCCCTCTTTCTCTGTCTCTCTGTCTCCATCCCTCTCTCTCTCTCTCTCTCTTTCTCTCTCTCTCAAACTTCTGCAGTGAAACAGGGCAAGGAAAATATTGCTTGCTTATCAACTGAACCAATTAGCTTTGGTAGATTGATGAAAGGCACAGAAAACAAGAACCTCAAAAATAATAATTAAGAGGGACAAAAGCTTCCAAGCGAATCTTTTCCCTCCAAGTCTTCAGTCATTATGCAAGGTATAATTTAACCCTGGTGAAAATTAAGCGATGCGGGGAACAGTCTCTTCGTCTGGCCAGCTTAATCTTGGCATGCTTTAAAAATTTGCTTTAAACATGAAGTGCACGAAGGCTCATGTTTACGTATGCATTCTGAAGGGCTTTTACTCTCCATACGTGGCTTTTTGAGGCACACATTTTGTAAACAGATGCCTGGATTTTTTAGGCTAGAAAAGTCTCAAAACATTCAGGAGGGACAGAAATCAAGAAATAGCTAATGTTCATTCAAGCCTGAGTCCAAGGAACATCAGATGTTTGCCACTCCTGGAAAAAGCAAACAACAAAACAAAACAGATTTTTCCGGCACCCTATTTAAAATTTGGTGATGATCTTGGATTCCATGTCTTTAAGCTCTACTGTAAATATCCCTTATTCACCAGAGAATTCCAACGCAGCCTTCCTATTTTGCAGTCTTAAGTTGTGTTTGAACTACAACTTCCAGCATTCTCGGCCAGCATGCTGGGAATTATAATCCTCACATGAGTAAAAGGCAGCTGTTCGAAAAAGTCATTGATTTCCCCAAAGCTTTCAGCCAAGCTGAGATCCTGACAAGCTGTATGCCATTTTGAGCATAATAAATTCCTTTCTTTCCCTGGATTGTTTCTGCATTTTATTTTTTTTAAGAAACCAGGGTTTCTCTCTCTCTCATTAGCATGACTCCTCCTGTCACTTGAATTAAAAATCTTTTTCTATTAAAGTTTTATTAAGTAAATTGTTAAAAACATTGGATGTGGAGTGATTGTCCCGACAGTCCTGTCTGTCATACATATTACGGCATGGAATACATGCTTTATATACATTTATACAAGTATACAATATTTTCTAATTCTAATCATCCATTCTGCTAACCCTATTCTCTTTTGATTCTAGATCCTTCCTTTTTACCCACCATTGATAGAATTTATCCCATACTTTATAGTATGCTATCTCGTCTTTATCTTTCATTTCCAAAGTTAATTTATCCATCTTGTTTTTTATTACTTCACTTTCATCGGGAATTTCTTTATCTTCCCACTTTTGAGCAAAGGCTAACCTTCCAGCTGTAATCACATGTGTTATTCAATAGATCTCCTCCCTATTGTATTTTTCTGTTCAAATTTTGAATAGGAAAAATTCCGGTTTATATTCCACTTTATGCCCTACCATCTCCTCCAGCCACCTCTACAAGATTTTTTTTTAATTAAAAATCTTTATCGTCAAATGACAAGAACAATTTTTTTTTTCCTTCCCTGCATAAGGAAAGTATGGTCAAAAGCTTGACAAAAGCCCCAAACCAGAAAGATGGGAAACCTGAGACAGAGAAACAGCCCTTCGGCCAAATATCAGTAACGCCTGGTGTTGGGAAACTCTTTTGTGTTATCCTGTGATCATGAAGGCAGAGTTCACAAAACATATTCGGCAGTAAACCTGTCTTGCAGCTGCAGTGGCCAAATTCACAAACGCGCTAAACTCCAAGCAACTATGCCCAGTTATGGCTTAGCCTAATGTCAGTACTCAGCTAGAACTCCAAGCATCTCCAACATGGCTTCCTCCAGATGGATTGGGCTACTGTCCCCATTGTTCTTTTAGCAAACGCCTAACAGAATAGAATAACCGAATTGGAAGGGACCTTGGAGGTCTTCTAGTCCAACCTCCTGCCTAGGCAGGAAACCCTACAACACTACAGACAAATGGTTGGCCAATCTCTTCTTAAAATCTTCCAGTGTTGGAGCATTCACAACTTCTGGTGGCAAGTCGTTCCACTGGTTAATTGTTCTAACTGTCAGGAAATTCCTCCTTAATTCTAAGTTGCTTCTCTCCTTGATTAGTTTCCATCCGTTGCTTCTTGTCCTGCCCTCACGTGCTTTGGAGAATAGCTTGACTCCCTCTTCTTTGGGGCAGTCCCTTAGATATTGAAAGACTGCTATTATGTCACCCTTAGTCCTTCGTTTCATTAAACTAAAAGAAAGTTATAGACTAGCCAATGTGAAACCCTGCAGATGCATTTAAAATGAAGCTTCCGTGATTCTAATGGTTGGGAATAACGGGAGTGGTAAAACTCTGAATAAATCTGCAAGTAACTGGGAGAAACCTCCAATGGGACCTCTACGAAGGCCAAGGCAAGGCCTGCAAGTAGGGTGAGAACAATCAACCAACTGGAACAGAAGTTGGCATTCGCAGGTTGTAGGTAGAAGCTTTTAAGAAGAGACTGGGCTGCTATCTGTCAGAAATGGCCTAGGGTCTCCTGCTTGAGCAGCGGGGGTTGGACTAGAAGACCTTCTAGGGTCCCTTCCAACTCTGATGTTCCATGGTTCTACTTTGACTTCTAATCATTTCTGGACCAGCCTTTGGCTGGTATCATGAACTCTTTATCGTTCGTGATGCAGAATGCCAACGAAAAGAATTTGTAATGAAATTCAGACGGGGAAACAGGTGAGCAAGCAAATAAATAATTCAGAATGATTGTGCAGGTTCCTTTTTTTTTTTTTTTTTGGCATGGAAGGCTGAAATGAATTTAAGATATGAGGGAGAAGGTCTGCTGTGACTTGCTGAGGTGAATTATCGGTCAAAAGGCCTTGGGGGCACTCTTAAATCAAAATACCCTCCCATTTACCTTTATCTTGGCTTTGCGTAACCCCTTGGGGTCACCCTCCAGAAGAGTTCTAGCATATTTCTCAGGATATGTCATCTTCAAGAATTCATTTATCATTACTAATGCTGCCCAGCAGAGCCTTTTACCTAAAACAATTATGCCAAGAAATGATAAGGGTGCCCAACCAAAGCTGTTACAGATATCAGAGGATAAGCACACCTAACCCTGCCATTAGTCATTTTAAACTATATCAACCACATATTTCCTTTCTTCCACCTTCCACTTCCTTCCTTCCTTCTTCCTTCCACCTTCCACTTCCTTCCTTCCTTCTTCCTTCCACAATCCTTCCTGCCTTTTTCCTTCTGCCTTCCACCTTCCTTCCTTTCTTCCTTCTTCTACCTTCCAGCTTTCTTCCTCCCGCCTTCCATTTTCCTTCCTTCCTTCTTCCTTCCACCTTCCTTCCTTTCTCCTTCTACCTTCCTTCTTTCTTCCTTCCACCTTCCTTCCTACCCTTTTCCATCTGCCTTCCTTCTTCCTTCCTTCCTTCTTCCTTCCTTCTTCCTTCCTTCTTCCTTCTACCTTCTTCTTTTCACCTTCCTTCCTTTCTTCCTTCTTTCTTCTGCCTTCCAGCTTCCTTCCGTCCACCTTCCATTTTCCTTCCTTCCTTCTTCCTTCCTTCCTTCTTCTTTCTACCTTCCTCCCTTCTTCCTCTCTTCTTCCTCCCTTCCTTCCTTCCTTCTTCCTTCCTTCCTTCCTCCTTTCCTTCCTTTCTTCTTCCTTCCTTCCTCCTTCCTTCCTTCCTTAATTTTTATGTTATTTGATTCAATCAGTTACCCGTCTCTCTTCCAAGCCTTCCCTAGGCTTCCAGCGTCTTCATTTCATCCTGATATACGACCTTGGTGTATTTTTAGCTGTTGCATGTCATTCTGTAAAAGTTCTGGCTTGAACAGTGGCATATTCACTTTTAAGGGGAAAAAAAGATGAATAAACAAGTAACAGACAGGGGAGCCTTTGACCATTTATTTTCCTCTCTCTCTGAAAAATACTTCATCACATTTTTTTTCTTCCTCCAATGTTGAACTCAAAACAACTCTAAAAGGTGACTTTTCTGAACAATAGATTAATTGTCCCGAGACCTTGGCAAGACTCTTTAATCAAAAGATAAGAAGCGTCCAATTTCCCCAATCCAATCAGAAGCTGATATTACGTAAAATTGGCACCCCAAGAAGCTGCGCTTTCTGTTTTTTTAATCAAACAGAGAGGCTGCCATGCAATGGTGGGACACCCACAATTTTAGGATTATTGGCAGCCTCTTAATGATCAAAATGAAATTTTCAGCCTTTGGGGCGATGGGAAATTTAAGAAGAAAAGTGAATGTCTCACCCATTGCAAATTAAGCCAATAATATCATCTGTTGGGCTCCACTCCTATAATAACTCAGAAACTAGACTGAATATTTTGGACCTACCCACCTCAGTGTCCACTACCATGGCTAGTGGCCCCTGACAGTTGCTAAAACATTGGTGACATTTATGGGAGTCATTCAGAATTATGCTACTAATCTGAAGGAATGACACTACTTAAAGAAGGATCAAGATGGACTGAGCAATGTTTGTAGAGATGAAGAGATGTTATTCTCAAGTCCACATTGGTCCTCTTTTCCTTGGTGGGAGGTCCCCATGGGAGAAAATACATATATTTGATAAAAATGTAAAAGTGAAAAAAATGGTTGTGGCCAAATGAAGATGGTCCAACTCTACAGGAAGACATTAACGATCATGAAAACATTGTGTTGATGAGAGCTTCAAGAATTAGAAGCTTTGGAGGACACTCCAAGGCTATCTTCCAGCACGTAATGGTCTATCACAGACAGGAGGGACCTATTGTCTGAAGCACCAGAAGGCAGGACAAGAAGGGTGGAAGATCATTAAAGACAGATCCAAACTCGAACTAAGGACAAATTTCCTAACAGTG